TCTAATGCATATATGCATAACCCATGGACACAGACAATAGAGTGGTGAAGGCCTGGTGTGGTGGCGGGGAGGGGGGGCGGGCAGTGGTTGTGGTGAAGGAGGTCAATGGGGTTGGAAAAGGAGGACATCTCTACTACTTTCAACAATAAAGATAAATTTTTAAAATATTATGAATATTCATAGCAGTATTATTCCTAATAGCCAAAAACTGGGAACAACCCAAATATCCATCAACTGATGAATGAATAAGTAAGCTATGCCATATCCATACAACAAAATATTATTTAGCCATAAAAAGGAATGAAGTATTCATATGTACTACAACATGGATGAACATAGAAAACATTGTTAAGTGAAAGAAGTCAGACACAAAAGGCCACATGTTGTAGATTTCATTTATGTCAAAGGTCCAGAATAGGTAAATTTATAGAGACAGAAAGTATTTCAATGGTTGCCCAAGCAATTGGGAGAGATTGCTAAGAGATTCCGGGCTTCCTTTGGGAAAATATTCTGGAATTAGTGGCAATAGTTGCAAAACATAGTGAATATACTGAAAAGCCACAGAGTGGTATATTTTATGTTATGTGAATTATATCTCAATTAAAACAAGGGATAGTAAACAAAAGTTATGGGGTGTGTCAAGAATTATAATAATCATAAATCTGTGTGCCCTTAACCCCTCAAACAAATTTCAAGGCAAAAAATGCTGAAGGCCTGAACAAAAAGCCAGTGGCTTGGGATATGGCCAAGTAGGACCCCGCTCAACAGTAACTAACCAGATGCTACTGGGAAAGGGATGAGGAAGAGCGTGTAAAGACTTCCAGGCTTTGATGACGAGATAACTGAGAAAAAGGTGAAGCTCTTCAATGAGACAGGAAGTAAATGATAAGAAACAGTTTTCTGAGACTGATAGGAAGGTGGTGAGTCATTGGACCCAGTGAGCATACGGTTTCAGAGGGACCCTGAGCCGCCACCTAGAAGACGGAGGATACAGGTGTGGAGCTTGTGGGAGAGGCTGAGTTGCTCTGGGCTGGGAGGATGGATTTGAGGATCATCAGAACATACACAGTGGAGGAACTATCCAGTGTCCCAATGCTGACACATTCCCTGAACCTACCTTCTTCTCCTTCTCCTCCTCCTGCTCATCTTCCTCCTCCTTCTCTTTTTTTTCTGAAAAAGTCTTTTATCTTGAATGGATGTGATAACATATGGAAGTGAGGCGCTATTGTTTCCACCCGCGCCAGTGTTGACCAGCCTGAGAACAGACCATTCTACCTTCATTAAAATGATGTTCCCAGAGCCTTTTTAATAAAAAGGGAAATGTGCTTCAATGTTCAGGGGGGAAACGAGAACATTAACTTCTTTTTACTATAGGATCGTAACTTTGTCAAATGTGCATTAAAAAGAGGGTGCGAACATGGACAAATGAGCAGTTGCTGCTGGCTAGTCTCACAGTATTTGGTGTTTTTTTTTTCAATTAGATGCGCTTTTTGATACATTCAAATTTTCCTACAAAGAGCATGTATTACTTTTAAGATCAGAAACATGGGAAGGCTGAGGAAAATGTTTTAATCAAACTCGAAACAGAAGGTAAGCAGGGATAAGAAATATTAATGCTAGACAATGTAAATGCAAGGCAAGAAAAAAAAGGTATTTTTGAAGATAAAGGGAACATTACATAATGGTAACAGCCACCACTAACAATGAAGCCATGCAGATACAAATCTATGTTGCCAAAGAAACGGACAAGATACAGAAATCAAACATTATTAAAAACACGGGAAGGAACAGTCATTGTAGAAGGTGATGTTAAAGCACCATTATCAAAGAGACGTAAGAAGAAAAACTCAGAGTCTATCTAAATACACATAATTGATGTCTGGCAGGAATTCAATTCCATGATTACAGTGTGGGGGTCTTTTCAAGTGTATACAGAACATTTACAAAACTCAATAATACTAGTCACAAGGAAAACCTCAATAAAGAAAAAAAATGTTAAATTTCTCTTCCCATTAAAGAGAAAGTACAGGGGTGCCTTCCCTTCCCAGTCAGGAAAAAACAAACAAAAAAACAGAAAAATAGCATTAATGTAGTCCACTCCTGGTCTTGTAGGCCAGGGGTAGGGAATGTCCGGGCCGCAGGCAGAATAAAGCCTGCGAAATCATTTGGTCTGGCTCTGCCAAGGCATTAGGGCCGAGTTAATTAAATTTTTGACCAAATATAGCAGGGTAATACATTTTAAGTTGATAATTTTGCATGACCCTGGAATCCTATATAATCAAGAGCTAATATGCAAATGATTGTCACGCCCACTGCACCCCCCACCCAGCGGTGCTTGACTGGGGACCTGAGGCTGTGCCCCCCCGCCCTGTGGGGCTTGACGGTGGTGGGGCCAGCCAGATCTGGGTCTTGTGATTTCGAGGTGCATGCAGGTGGGCAGGGACTCGATTCTGGGTCCCATGGCGTGCCCCAGACTCTGACAGGAGGGAGATTTTGATATACATTTTACTAATTTTCTTCCATCTCTGACACTTCTATTATAGAGAAAGGGCAAATAGCAATATTAAAATATTTCCTCTAATTAATTCCTTTTTAATGTGCATGAATTTCGTGCACTGGGCCAGTAGTGATATTATAAATATCCATATGGCTGTTGGCAGAAAAAAAGGTTTCCCACCCCTGCCTTAGGTACTGGGGAGGACAGGGAAAGATGAATGGGAGTTAACGTTATGGTCAGAATGGACCAAATACCTCTTCCTGCTTGTTCTAACCCACTGACCATCTTCACGAAACCTGAAGTGTGAACGGTACTGAAACAGTACTTAACTCAGTAGTTCTCCAAGTGTGGTCCCTGCACCAGGGGAATCACCCAGGAGTCTGTGAGAAATGCAAACCCCTTTGCCCCACCCCTGAACTCCTGAAACTGAACATCCTCCAGGGTGGGGCTCCAGAAGGTTCCCAGGGGAAAGCATCTGATGCTAAGGGTGTACAGACACCCTGGCTCCCTCAGCCCTGGAGCAGGTTAACTCTGAGCGGTGGCTTTTACACTGGCTCCAGAGTCCCGCTAGGATGAAGCTCCTGTCACCCACAGTAACAATCTGCATGACACCCCCTTTGAGGGTGCCTTCCCTCCCCGTCTTACTTCCCGGGTCCCCTCTTCAACTCCCAAATGAGCTAATGCATTCAACTCTGTCTCAGGGTCTGTGTCTGGAGGAACCTAAGCTAAGGCATCTACTGGAGACCCCATTCCCTCCTCTCTGGCCAGGCTCTGCAGAGATTTTTCTGGGAGATGGACCCCCACTAGCAGTGAGTCCTCACCCCGTTCTCAGTTCCCTCTCTTCTCTGGTTGACCTGCTCTTCTGAGTGGCACTTCCAGCCACTCCACTGCTAGCCCCTTAACCACGGGTCAGCAACCAGCCAGGCCTGTGGGACAAAGTCCTGCCCAGAACTTGAAGTGAGGATATGCAGGTCACGGCGGTATCATGGGCTCCGGTAGGGTACAGGGGGTCACAGCAGCACAGAGCAGGGACTTAGGGTGTCGGCAAAGTCTCAGAGGGTGTGACACACATGGGAGACCTGGGGAAGGAGTGGGACTTAGCCAGGAGTGAGGAGGGTGTAGCCTGAAAGTCCTGCTGAAGCCAGAGGTTTGCCTGGGCACACAGAGCAGCTGCAGAGGTACGCTGTAAGCCAGCCAGGCAGAGCTCTGCCAGATGACTTAGAGGCTTCAAGAAACAGCAAGCCTCCTTCTCACAACAAGACTCTCAATGTCAGTTTTTTAAAAATATATTTTTATTGATTTCAGAGGGAAAGGAGAGAGATAGAAACATCAATGATGAGAGAGAATCATTGACTGGTTGCCTCCTGCACACCCCCTACTGGGGATCGAGCCCGCAACCCAGGCATGTACCCTAACTAGGAATCGAACCGAGATCTCCTGGTTCATAGGTCAAGGCTCAATGTCAGTTTTAAAAAAATCTATAGATAATGAAATAGCCAGAGGTCAAGAAAGAAAAATAGGGATGTGAAAAATTCAGCAAATGACCCATCTGTCCTCCAAATCTAGAGGACCCCCCACCAGAGAGTAGTGCCCTGAGGGCACACTGCTATAATGCCGGTTCAGAAGGGGCAGGGGGACTTCAGCCCTTGGGCCAATCAAATGTGATAGGGTCACCCGGAGCGCCCCAAGATAATCAGGTTTCAAACAGGGCCTGTGGCTCGTCCTGCCTCTCCCGACCAGGAGCTCACAGGATGACCCGTCTGTACTCAGTATGCTGAGAGCAAGGCGTTCAGCTGCCCCTTAATCCTACAGTTGCTCAGAAGATAAGCCTCCTGGCTGGCTTTCTGTCTGTCACCTGCTGTGGGTTCTCTCCCTGCAGTGAGCACAGTGGATTCTGCAGGCTTCCCGCCAACACAAAGGCACAATTAGCCAAACCAACCCCCTCACCACCTCAACACCAGGTTCTCATCTCCAAGGACCTCAAAGAACTTCTGCTGCTGCCGTCCAGTATTTGCTTGTTTTATGTTTTTAAACTAAGCCACCATTCCCAACAGAGCTCAACTCCAAAAGGCCTGCAAACTCTGCTCATTTCTATCCACGGTCATTGTGGGCACAGTGGCCCAGAGGGAAATTCTGAGGTGGGAGGACTTCCCATCACAGGACAGAATTTCCCTTGTTCTTTCACCTCCTGGGAAAGGGTGTGTGTGGAGGAATTCAGCCCTTCAAATTATTAATTGCTTTATTAATAAGAAGAGGGGAAATTAAGGTTAGTCTAGATACATCACCAGTCGCTTACTCTCAGAGCCCTAGAGGACTCGTGGACTAATGAACCAGTGTTTACCTGGACTTCCTCCTCCAAACTTCCCCCATTCCCTGGATACGCCCCAGGAACAGAAGACAGAGACACTTGGGCTGGGACTGGAATGAAGAGGCATTTCCCCTGCTGAGATTGTGAGATTGCATCTTCCTCTCTAAGAAACCCCTGGGCCGGCCACCCCCATACCTTCATCGCTGTTGTCATCCACCAGGATGATCTCCTTCAGCAGGTGTGTGGGCGTGTGGTTGACAGCGCTGTGGACCGACCGCAGGATCACCGACAGGGCCTCGTTCACGAAGATAAAAATGATGGAGATCTGGGGCAGCTCCTTGGAGTACTTCAGCTCCTTACACCTGGGGAGGAGAGCAGGGAGAGCCAAGTCAGGAAGGAGGGACACACGTGCTGTGCTGGACACAGTAAGGACGTCCGCCCAATCCTCGTACACATCCTCCCGATGCGTGAACCATTGGTTCCCTGTACCAATTGGTTCTCTTGGTTAAGAACTGAGAATAGAACCTAAGGAGGAGAGGGTTAAGGGATCCAGCCCCATTTATCCCAAATTCACCACCCTGTACGAATGGGAAGCACCAGTCTTGGGCACACATCTGCCAGACCACAGGCTACTGTGCCCACATGTACCACCTGGTTTCGTCAGTGCCCACCTGTCCAACTGTCTACTCCAGGCACCTGCACTTCCTTGTCTGGGGCTCACCTGTTACGATGCCACCTAAGCAGTTACCCACCCCCATCAGCTCTCATCCAGAGACTGCTGGGGGTTGATGCATAAACACTCGACTCCCTCAGCTCTGGAGCAGGTTGACTCTGAGGGGTGGGTTTTATACTGGCTCCCAGGGTCCTCCTGAGATGAAGTTCCTGTCACACACAGTAACAATCTGCATGACACCCCCTTTGGGGATGCCTTCCCTTCCCAGTCCTCTATCCCCAGTCCCCTCTCTACTTCCCAAATAGACTAATGCACTCACCTCTTTGTCTCAGGGTCAGTGTCTGGGGAACCCATACTAAGAGATCTACAGGAGACCCCTGCTCTCACGGAGCTTACACTCTAGGAGACATAAAACACACATACAAATCATCATAATCAAGGAAGCGGGTCCTCAGCCTGTGTAGGTAGGAGTGTGCTGCCTGACACACCCCACCTCTTCTTCCTAAAACCTCCCTGAGGACAGGAAGTGGCACCACCTGCCTCAGAGATCCTCCCTCTTATGACCTAGCCACTCCCCATCCCAAAGACAGGGCGAAAGGGGAGAGTCCTTTTCATCCAGGCTGGACTCGGGGGCAGAGAGCTGGTGACGTTAGAGATGGTAGAATGCCCAGAGAACGTGCTCTGCGTGGCTCAGTCCCAGGAGCACCCACACACTGGGCATTTGGTTCCACGCTTAGTCTGAGCCACACTGGAAATACCAAGAAGAAACAACGTGGACTGGAATCCGGATCTCGCATTCCCCTTCCCCCTGTAGAGCACAAAGTGTGAGAGCAAAACACACGCAACGAGAGGAAGGAATGGAGTTAGCGAAGCAGGAAGATGGAGCAAGAAATGTGGCGGTTTTTTATGCTGAACAGCTTGGCCTGTGTCGGGCCATATTAATCATGTAGGCAATTTTCGGGAGAAAATAAAGTTTTGTTGCAATATGCATTTGTGTCTCCTGGAAGAGACCGTCCAGAGATGCATTGATCATGCAGCCTCATTTTTACCACATCGCTGTAAATTCACCTCTGGGGCTGCCAGGGAGATTAGAATGGATATTGACGGGCTCCTGGGCAGTCTGCGGGAATCATCTCATTTACTGTGTGGTGATCCGAGAGAGGAGGGCACCGGGAAGGTCCCTGAGAGCCCCCTGGCAGCCGTCCTGAGCCTGGCAGGCTGTCAGCTGCTCCTCCTCAGCCCATTACTCACTGCCCATACATGTGAGCACACACACCTTCCTCACCCACCTACTCTGAGCACTCATTCCTGGGGCTGGTTTCTTTGCTCCTTTGTTTTCAACAGCTTCTGGCCCTTGAAATTAAGAAGCAAAAAGGCCAGAGTGCACTGTACCGGCACCGTCTTCTGCACCCACAGACCATGGGGTCGCACTGTGGTCAAGCCTGAGTTGGGAGTCAGGCCTCTTGGCCAGAGCAGACGGGGCCCCCGGGTGAAATGGGAAACATGGGAGCCTCAGGGGAACGGGAGGAGTACAAGGGGGGATGGGAAGGGGGCTGATCCTTGCCTCTTCATGAGTCAAGGTGGCCATTCAGTAAATCCTGCAGGATTTTCAGAAGCGAGAAGTGCTCTGCCACACATTGGACACGTTGCCCTGGGCACATAGCTCATGTTTCTTCATCTTTAAACTGTCAGAAAAATCCTCACCATAGCTAGCTCTGTGTGGATCAAGGAAGACCAGCCTTTGAGAGCCCTGTGAAAATTTGGTGTAACATCTAATGAAAAGACTCAGTCTGTCTGGTTGGCCCCTCCATCCTCCCTTCTGCTCCTCTGTTCCATCTTACACATTCCTAATCACCGCTGGCCAAGCTTCCAGAGTTTTCACTCAACCAGACCGTTTCTGCAGAACCCACCCAGGACTCTCCTTCTCAACAAGCCCAGGTCTCTAACCTCACCCGGTTTACAACGATTCACCTCTCCTGTGCAGACATCCTCAGGGTCTCACCACAGGCAGAAAATAGGAGTACAGTCATTATTAAGAAAATCAGCATTATTTTTGTTGGTCTTTCAACTCCAGGTTGATAGACTTTGCCTTAAAAAAATCTCTCTCTAACCTGGCTTACTGACTGATACATGGAAGATGCATGGAATATGCTGGGGAGATGGGCAACGAAAGTTTTAATCATTCTCTATAAAGAGTAGCATCGACAGATATATGTATATATGTTACTTCCAATCAGACGTCCAATGCTGGACAGGACAGAAGATGAGAGTGGGAGGGAGATTAAGGGTGGATGGTACAAAGAAAGAGAGAGACTCTCAGCCACAGAAATACTAGAGAGCACAGAGGAAGAGAATATACAGAGCTCCTGCACCTAGGAGCTGGTGCTAACACAACTGTTGCTGTGGCCTGATGACCCTAGGGCAGTAGATCTGGTACTCCATACCCTGCAGACCAAGGCTGACATGACAGAAGCCCCTCCCCTCATTGCCAAGTTCCTGCAGAGCTGAGGGAGGAAGGTGCTCAGAGCCACAGAGATGCACATGGTGCTCTCTGGGTGACCCCAGGGGTGGCCAGCGCCAAGTAGACTGGGCAGGTCAACCTGGGGAAGGCAGCAGGCAGCTCGGCTTGGCTTCTAGCCCCATCTCTACACAATGGAACATACAGAACATACAGAATCGGACGTTTTCCACTGCAAAATCCAGGTAAGAGTAACCTGGGAGTGTGTGAGGATAAAAGAAGAGGTCCCAGACTGAAAGACACGCAGGGAGTAAGGAGAGGATGACACACAGCAGAAACAACAAAATACCTCAAAATCTATAGCAGGTATGCGTGTGTGTGTGTGTACGCATGTTGTGCACTTTCTCTAGCAAAACAGACTCAGGTCTGGGTCCCAGAAATCACAAATTTCCTTTCAATAACTAGTCAGCAAGCATTAAACAATCCTTTGTCTGAACAAAGATGGTCTGGATCAACATCAGTCAGTGCTCCAGGCAGGAAGGGGCTGCAGAGAAATTCAAGACCAGGCTCCGCTCCTCAAAGCCTCACGAGGAAGATTCTTGTGAAGCTGTTCCTGTGCAGTGGTTCTCAACCTTCCTAATGCCGCGACCCTTTAATACAGTTCCTCATGTTTTGGTGACCCCCAATTTCATTGTTACAAATTGAACATAATTAAAGCATAGTGATTAATCACAAAAACAATATGTAATTATATATGTGTTTTCTGATGTGACACAGATGTGTTAGGTGACCCCTGTGAAAGGGTCGTTCGACCCCCAAAGGGGTCTCGACCCACAGGTTGAAAACCGCTGAGAGAAAAGGAAGCAATCAACTAACCAAATGAGGTCTCTTA